GGTAGAATCTTTAAGAGGTAGTGCCTAGTGGAAGGAAGGAAGTTAGACCATTGGGTACATGCCCTTAAAGGAAATATTGGAACCCTGGTTTCTTTTTTTTTCTTCTTTTTCCTCCTCTTCCTCCTCCTCTTCCTCGTCCTCATCTTCCTCTTCCTCTTCCTCCTCCTCCTTCTAATTCTTATTCTTATTCTTCTAGTCCAAATAAACCTTTCTTCCTTTCAAATTGACTATCTCAGTTAAGTTGATGATCTCTGGGACTGGAGGTGGAGCTCAGAGGTAGGGTGCCTGCCTAGCAAGTACAAGGCCTTGAATTCAAAACCCAGTACCACAGTGTCACTGAACTAAGGGACATGTCAAGAACACTCACTCACTCACTGCTGACACTGAATACCTACAATGTGGCAGGGACTACACAAGGCCACATGCAGGACTCCAGAAGCAGACAGCCATCTCAGGGACCTCTCATTGGAGCACCTCCAAAGGCCCACATGGGTACTGATCCACAGTTAGGCTGTCCTGGGTGTGGGCCTTGAGAAGTCTCTGCTGCTGTCTGTGGGCATTGCACAAGATGGTAACTTCATAGTTTCTGGTGGTTCAACTACCATCTCTCATTTTCCAAGACATCTTGGATTTGCATGCTTCTCTGTTTTATTCTGAAAGCCCTAGGTAGAGACATCCATTCAGTGTAGTGTTAAGTAGTCACACTAAAAGCAATGATAGATAGATAGATAGATAGATAGATAGATAGATAGATAGATAGATAGATAGATAGATAGATAGATAGATAGATATAGATATAATATGTGTGTATATATATATGAAGAAGCATCTGTGGTTTAATATTATATAGAAAAATAGTCTTTAGACATCTGTATGATACCATTTGTGGAAAGTAAAAGTACACACAAATAGATATATGTGATGAATAAAAAAGCATGGAGGAGAAAAGATAGACTATGTTCCAAATATTTAGATGTGACCCTTGAATAGAAAGTCATTTGAGGTTTATATGTCCTATGGTTTTTGTTTGCTGGTTTTCTTGTCTCTGAGACAAGATCTTACTTTGTAATCCAAGTTTGC